TACAGAAAAAAATTATTTTGTTTAGCCAGGTGTCGGGACACATGCCTGTGGTCTGAGCTACTCTGGAACCCAATGTAGAAGGATCACTTGAGTCCAGGAGTTTGAGGCTGTGATGAACCGTGATCAGCTCCCACTGCATTCCAGCCTGGGCCACAGAGAGAGACTTCCTATTGCAGTTTGGCAGGCAGGGCGGGAGGATCACTTGAGCCTAGGAGTTCAAGACCAGCCTGGGCAACTAAGAGAGACCTCTGTCTCTGCCAAAAGAGACAGAGGTCTCTCTTTTTTTTTTTTTTTTTTTTCCTGAGGTGGAGTCTGGCACTGTCACACAGGCTGGAATGCATTGGCGTAATCTCAGCTCACTGCAACCTCTGCCTCTCGGGTTCACACAATTCTCCTGCCTCAGCCTCCCAAGTAGCTTGGGACTACAGGCGCCCGCCACCACGCCTGGCTAATTTTTTTTTTTGTATGTTTAGTAGAGACGGGGTTTCATCGTGTTTGCCAGGATGGTCTCGATCTCCGGACCTCATGATCCACCTGCCTCAGCCTCCCAAAGTGCTGGGATTACAGGTGTGAGCCACCGCGCCCGGTCCACAGACTCCATTTTTGACCCCAGTGTTAGCACAGCGCTTTTTACGCTGATCAGGGAGGGTGATTGTTCTCTGTTGCCAGCCCTGTCTCCTGCCCACCCCAGCCCAGTGTGGTGGGTGTGGACCTTCTGGGAAAGGGTGTAAACACGTGCTTCCAGCATCCGGCCAGAAGCCCCATGACTGGGGCGCAGCTGCCTTTGGTCGGTAGGTGGCAACCGTGTCCGCTTGCTCTTGTGAGGGTCCGGGAGGCTGGTGCAGGGCTCCCAGGAGAGGCAGGGGCGATCTTACTTACCTTGCCAGGATAACAGCAATAAGGGCTGCCCACATGCATGCTGGACAATAGGGATACCACAGAGAACGAAAGTGCAGCCCAGGCAGCACAGCAAGACCTCGACTCTACAAAAATTTCAACCACAACAAAAATTAGCCAGGTGTGACGGGGCACATCTGTGGTCCCAGCTACGTGGGAGGCTGAGGTGGGAGGATCACTCGAGCCTGGGAGGCAGAGGCCGCAGTGAGCTGTGACTGCACAACTGCAGTCCAGCCTGGGTGACAGAGCCAGATATTATGTAAAAAACAAAAACAAAAACAAAAACAAAAACCCAAGGCCAGGCATGGTGGCTCACGCCTGTAATCCCAGCACTTTGGGAGGCCGAGACGGGCGGATCACGAGGTCAGGAGATCGAGACCATCCTGGCTAACCCGGTGAAACCCCGTGTCTACTAAAAAATACAAAAAACTAGCCGGGCGAGGTGGCGGGCGCCTGTAGTCCCAGCTGCTCGGGAGGCTGAGGCAGGAGAATGGCGTGAACCCGGGAGGCGGAGCTTACGGTGAGCTAAGATCTGGCCACTGCACTCCAGCCTGGGCGACAGAGCGAGACTGTGTCTCAAAAAAAAAAAAAAAAATTTGTGTAGAGACAAGTTCTCACTATGTTGCCCAGGCTGGTCTCAAACACCTGGGCTCAAGCAATCCTTCCACCTTGGCATCCCAAAGTGCTGGGGTTACACGTGTGATCCTCTGAGCTTGGCCCTGGTCATTTCTTGAATGTCTGTAGCTTATGGCTACTCAGCCCGCCAGCGGCTCACCTACGTTTCTGGCTGATTCTCTGCGTCCACTAAGCTCCCAATTGGGGAATCAACTCCATGATTTTGCAATATTTCGATGCCAGACCCTGACCCATTACTATGAGTTGGGAGGGTCACGTTCCGTTTGTTTTTTGAGACGGTCTGGCTGTCACCCAGGCTGCAGTGAAGCGGCATTGGTGTGATCTCAGCTCACTGCAACCTCTGCCTCCTGGGCTCAAGCCATTCTTCTGCCACAGTCTCCTGGAGCGTAGTGGAGACTACAGGCGCCACCACTCCCAGCTATGTTCTTTTTTAAAAAAAAAAAAAGAAAAGAAAGAAAGAAAGACACAAGGTCTTGCTATGTTGCCCACGGCAATCTCAAATTCCTAGACTCAAGCAATCTTTCCGCCTCAGCCTCCCAAAGTCCTGGGATTACAGGTGTGAGCCAGCACACAGGCTGTGGGTCACATTACTTTTGAAAGGTTCTGGCCAGGCGCGGTGGCTCAAGCCTGTAATCCCAGCACTTTGGGAGGCCGAGACGGGCGGATCACGAGGTCAGGAGATCGAGACCATCCTGGCTAACACGGTGAAACCCTGTCTCTACTAAAAAATACCAAAAAACTAGCCGGGCGTGGTGGCGGGCCCCTGTAGTCCCAGCTACTCGGGAGGCTGAGGCAGGAGAATGGTGTAAACCCGGGAGGCGGAGCTTGCAGTGAGCTGAGATCCGGCCACTGCACTCCAGCCTGGGGCACAGAGCAAGACTCCGTCTCAAAAAAAAAAAAAAAAGAAAAGAAAGGTTCTGGATAAAGAACAATGTCAATTAAAAAAGAGGTCCCATCAGTAGAGGCCAAAATCATGACTGAAACTAGCTTAAGCCCCAAAGCAAAACAAAAACCCCAAAGAAGGCAGAGCATAGTGACTGGCGCTGTAATCCCAGCATTTTGGGAGGCTGAGGTGGGTAGATCACCAGAGGTCAGGAGTTTGAGACCAGCCTGGCCAACATGGTGAAACCCCGTCTCTACCAAAGGTACAAAAATTAGCCAGCTGCAGTGCAGTGGTTATCGTAGTGAAAGTGAGTGAAAATCGCAGCTCACTTCAGCCTTGACCTTCTGGACTCAAGTGATCCTCCCACCTCAGCCTCCTGAGCAGCTGTCCCAGCGGTCCCAACTACTCAGTGCCCCAGCAATTCTGTTTTTTTCTTTTTCTTTTTTTTGCAGAGATGGTGGTGTGTGTCTTAAACTCCTGGCCTCAGGCAAACCTCATGTGTCAGCCTCCCAAAGTGCTGGAATTACAGGCATGAGCCACCATGCCTGGCCTAGATTCATTTTTTTAGATGCAGAAAATCTGGGCTTTGGATTTAATGACTTACCAAATAAAGGCTGTCTTTTTTTTTTTTTTTTTAAACAAATCAGCAAAACAGGGGCTCTTGGCTAGTTTGCATAAGGCATCCAGTGATGGGGAGTTTTGTTTTTTAGCTAAAAAAAAAAAAAGTGAAACTCACAGCAGTCTGTGTTTTTTTTTAAAAAAAGAAAAAAAAAAACAACTAAATGAGAAAAAAAAAATTTTCCGGGAAGCTTTTTTTTTTTTTTTTTTTTTTTTGAGATGGAACGTCACTCTATTGCCCAGGCTGGAGTGCGGTGGCGCGATCTCAACTCACGGCAACTTTCATCTCCCGGGTTCAACTGATTCTCCTGCCTTAGCCTCCCTAGTAGCTGGGATTACAGGCCCCCGCTATGCCCGGCTAATTTTTGTATTTTTAGTAGAGCCAGGGATTCACTATGTTGGCCAGGCTGGTCTCGAACTCCTGACCTCAGGTGATCCACCCACCTCGGCCTCCCAAAGTGCTGGGAGTACAGGTGTGAGCCACCGCGCCCAGCCTTGAAATGCACTTTCTTTGAAACACCATGTCCTCCCCTTTTTCACCATAAACTCCCTCACTCTCTGTGAGTTTACCTAACTGTATGCGTCTAATTACGTGATTACCTAAAAGTTCCAGGAGCAGGTTGGGTATGGTGGCTCGGGCCTGGAATCCCAGCACTTTGGGAGGCCAAGGTGGGCGGATCACCTGAGGTTAGGAATTCGAGACCAACCTGACCAACATGGAGAAACCCTGTCTGTACTAAAAATACAAAATTAGCCGGGCGTGGTGGCGTGTGCCTGTAATTCCAGCTACTCGGGAGGCTGAGGCAGGAGAATCACTTGAACCTGGGAGGCACAGGTTGCAGTGAGCCGAGATCACACCACTGCACTCCAGCCTGGGCAACAAGAGCAAGACTATGTCTCAAAAAAAAAAAAGAAAAAGAAAGTTGCAGGAGTCAATCTGGACACAGACCAAGCACGGAGACCCACCTGCAAAATCCCAGAGATTTCCTCAAGGTGGTCTGCAACCTGGTCGTTATTAGGATGAGGCCAGCATGTGCTTTTAAGCCACACAGAGCTTATGTTCAGCACCTCCCCTGCACAGCCACCATCCCAAGTTCCTCTTTTTTAGGCCCTCACCCCAGCCTCAAGTTTGAAGGGGTTTCTGGAGGCCTAAGCCAGCTGCTTCCCCACTGCGAACTCTGAAAATGAAGTCACCTTCCTTTCACTGCACTTTTTCCTCCTTATTGGTTTGGCAAGACTTGGGTATCCGAGCGTGAGCTGGTTACACCCAGGCACTGTCGAGTTGTTTGGGGAGGGGATGACAAATTTCCTCCCGTTGAGAACCACTTGGTTAAACCTGTCCAACTGGAAGGAGTAACAAATTGGTCATAAAATGTGCATGTTTTGGTGAAACCCCTTCTCTACTAAAAATACAAAAACTAGCCACAAATCACTTGAACCCAGGAGGTAGAGGTTGCAGTGAGCCTAGAACTGCATTCCAGCCTGGGTGACAGAGCGAGACTCCGTCTCCAAAAAAAAAAAAAAAAAAAAAGTGTGCTTGTTTGACCCAGGAGATGCACGAGGTTTTCTTTACCTACAGTACCGATGAGAAAACTCAAACCTGAGCATTGCCCAGGTCAGAGTGCAGTAACAGGCAGAACTGGAACCTGGCCCCATCCCGGTCTCAGGGGACGGGTGTCATGTCCCCCCCTCTGCCTCGTCCTCCTCACTCTGCTGACTTTCCAAAGACCCCGCAGGTTCTGAGTTTTCCCTGGCCGATTCATGGGATTCGAACCCGTAAACTCAGCGCTCGCCCAGCGCAGCGGCCCCGCCTCGCCCCCCGCGACGGTCATGTGAACGCAGTGGCGGCGGGGGGCGGGGCGAGGCGGCGGCACGCAGTCCCTGCTGGGAATTGTAGTCCTTGCCCCGCCTTTGCCTCGCGCCGACCCCGCCCCTGGAACTACGCTCCCGTCGTGCTCCGCGGCGCCAGGCGGAGACGAGGCAAGGCGGGGCGGGGCGCGCCGGGCCGGTTGCTAAGACTTGGCGAAGCGCTGCGCTCGCGCCCGGATCCCTCAGGTAAGCGCGCGGCGCCGAGGTCTCGGGTTCTCCAGGCTCAGGCTTCCCCAGAAGGGAAGTGGGGGCGAACATGGGGGGTCTCGGCGGTGAAGGGCGCCGGCCGTTCGTGGGGAGAAAACGGAGGGCCCGCGGCAACCTCCGGCGCGTCTGGGGCGGGCCGGTGGGCGCCGTGGGGAGGTGGCGCGAATGCGCGTGCGCTCGGCGCTGGCCTGGGGGGAGTCTCAGGAGCGCGCGCCCCCGGGCCCAGCGCTTTTCTGCGCGTGCGCGCCCCTATGGCCCGGGCGGGGGACCCTGTACGCTCCAGCTGCTTCCGGTGGCCCTTCCCCAGGTCAAGTCCGCCAGCCCCCTGCCCTCGAACCGCGCATCCACAGGTTTCCGGCGCTTTCGCGTCCTTCCTCCCCAGCTCTGGTTTGCCTTTACGTGAAGATTCCCTAGTCCTTTGTACATCCCCAGAATTGACCATCGTTCCTCGTCGTTACCTAGAGTGCGAGTTTTTCGGGTTTTTCCATCACAGGCCCCCAGCTATCTCCCACACCCTACCCCGAGGGCCGAGGTTCCCCGCTGTCTTGCAGAGAAGGCCTCCTTGTAGGATGGCCAGAAACAGGATCGACTCCTTGGAAACTAGGACAGCTGGGCGCAGTGCCTCACCCTGTGACCCCAGCACTTTGGGAGGCTAAGGCGGGTGGATCACCTGAGGTCTGGAGTTCGAGACCAGCCTGATCAACAGGGTGAAACTCCATCTCTGCCAAAAATACAAAAATTAGCCGGGCATGGTGGCGTACGCCTGTAAAACCAGCTACTCAGGAGGCCGAGGCAGGAGAATCGCTTGAACCTGGGAGGTGGAGGTTGCAGTGAGCCAAGATGGCACTATTGTACTCCAGCCTGAGCAACCTAGCAAGACTCTCCAAAAAAAAAAAAAAATTTTTTTTTTTAATTAGCCAGGCATGATGACACGTGTCTGTGGTCTCAGCTACACGGGAGGCTGAGGCAGGAGGATTGCCTGAGCCCAGGAGGTTGAGGCTGCAGTGAACTATGATGGCACTACTGCATTCCAGCCTGGGCAACAGAGTGAGACCCTGTCTCAAAATAATTAAGTATATATGTATAGCGCCGGGCCTGGTGGCTAATGCCTGTAATCCCAGCACTTTGGGAGGCCGAGGCGGGTGGATCACGAGGTCAGGAGATCAAGACCATCCTGGCCAACACGTTGAAACCCTGTCTCTACTAAAAATAAAAAGCTGGGCGTGATGGTGGGATCTTGTGGTCCTGGCTACTCCCAAAGGAGGCTGAAGCAGCAGAATGGTGTGAACTCAGGAGGCGGAGCTTGCAGTGAGCTGGAATCGCACCACTGCATTCCAGCCTGGGCGACAGAGCGAGACTCCTCCTCCTCAAAAAAAAGAAAAAACAACAAAATATATATGTGTAAAGAAACAAGCCCCAGGCTGGGCATGGTGGTTCATGCCTGTAATCCCAGCACTTTGGGAGGCCTAGGCAGGTAGATCACAAGGTCAGGAGTTCGAGACCAGCCTGGCCAATATGGTAAAATCCCACCTCTACTAAAAATGTAAAGAATTAGTTGGGCGTAGTGTTGCACACCTGTTGTCCCAGCTGCTTGGGAGGCTGAGGCAGGAGAATTGCTTGAACCAGGGAGGCGGAGGTTGCGGTGAGCCAAGATCACGCCACTGCCCTCCAGCCTGGGGGACAGAGTGAGACTCTGTCTCAAAAAAAAAAAGAAGCCCCCACGCAGACTGTTGGTGTGCCCTGGCACTGAGCATTAGCTGTTCGTCTGTTCTGTGTTCTCTCCCCTACTTCCCCAGCCTTCCAGTCTGGGCTATGGGTCACTGCCTCCGAGGGACCCTCCTGGATGCTACTGGAGATGGTCAGGCCCCTCCATCCCCCCACTTTCTCTTATGCGCCTGACAGCCCTGCCTTAAAAAAAAAAAAAAGCAGAGCAGGAATTCCCATTTCACAGGGGTGGAAGCCGAGGCTTGGAGGAATCAGGACTGGTGCCTGAGCCCTCGCAGCCAGGAGGTGGTGACCTGCCCTCCTGAGGGGTCCCAGTGGTCGACTGCCTTCTGGGTGTGTGTGGTGGGGGAGGATCAGGTGACCCCCCCCCCCCAGCTGTTGGGGGACAGTCGCTGCGCTGCCTGCCGGAGTGAGTCATCCTCCCCTGGACCACAGCGGGTGGGTAGGAGCTGCTCTGGCAGTTAAAGCTGCTCTGGCCTGAGACAGTCAATCAGCCTGAACAGTGCCTGTTCTGGAATTTTGACCTGCCCTCCACGGGTGCAGGGGGCCCAGCCTGCAGTGTCCCAGGATTTTGACCTGCCCTCCAAGGGCGCGGCAGGCCCAGCCCGCAGTGTCCCGGCAGCTGCCTCCTCCCTGGGTCGTTTGTTTTTCATCAGACAGAGGTTGTACTCTGGGAGGGACAAGCGAGGCTGTGTTTGTCTTTGACCCTGGAGACAGTGGAGTGTTTGTGGCCCAGCCGGGCCTCGCGGTCCTGGTCGCGCGTGGTATGCGTTTTGGGAGGGCCCAGCGAGTCGACTGCTACGGGCCCCACCTGCTATGGGCCCCACCTGGCACGGGGCCTTGGGCAGCGGCAGCACCTACCTCTGCCTCTGCGCTTCCTGCTCCCGGCTCCCACCGCGCTTCCGGTTCTGTGCTTCGTTGAACGCGTGAGCTTCAGGCAGCGCTGGGGCCACTACAGTGTGCCCTCCAAGTCCACTGGCCCGGAGTTCCACTGGCTGCTGGTCCCCCCACGGTGGGGCGCCCCGGCGGCTGAGGTGTGAACCGGGCAATGCATCTCGAGGAGTAGCGCCCACAGCTGCACGGCTGCGAAATTATCCAGAGACACATCCCTGCCTGCGGGACGAGCCGTCCACACCACAGGGATGTGTAGTCCGGCGGGCGGTGGTGGTCAGGATCATCCAGAGTCGTTTTAAGATCATCTGCGGCTTAGTCCCAGCACCATCTGTGGCAGTACTGTCTGCTAGAAATACCTGTGAGCACACAGGTGTAAGGTTTTTAGGATTTTGTTATTATTTATTGATCGGAGAAAAGGAACGGGGTGTCTGCATGTTACCCAGGTTGGTCTCAAACTCCTGTGCTTAAGTGATGCTCTCGCCTTGGCCTCCTGAGTAGCTGGGACTACGTGTGCACACCACCATGCCCAACTCATTTATACTTTTAAAAAATGTGGGCCGGGCATGGTGGCTCACGTCTGTAATCCCAGCACTTTGGGAGGCCGAGGCAGGTGGATCACCTGAGGTCAGGCGTTGGAGACCAGCCTGACCAACATGGTAGAACCCCGCCTCTACTGAAAATACAAAAAATTAGCTGGTGCAGTGGTGCGTGTCTGTATTCCCAGCTACTGGGGGGCTGAGGCAGGAGGATCGCTTGAACCTGGGAAGTGGAGGCTGCAGTGAGCTGAGATCATGCCACTGCACTCCACACAGCCTGGGCAACACAGTGAGACTCCGTCTTGAAAAAAAATGTGGGCTGGACGTGGTGGCTCATGCCTGTAATCCAGCCTCAGGCCTGCGGTGCGAGTCTGTGGGGGGAGATGCAGGTCGGGGGGGCTGGCCAGCTGAGATGGTGGTTTGGGAGTGTTCAGGTGGGGTGGATGCCAGAGATGTGGGAGCCAGAAGCGCTGTCCCCCAGGGCCCTGTGAGCAGTCTCTGCAGGCTGGCTGTCCCCACGCCTGCCTCTCTGCTGTGCTGTCTGCCCGCCTAGGGCAGGCTCCCCTCTCATGGGGTGATCCCGAGAACCGGGAGCTCCGCCAGCCCTTCCTCTCCAGTGGAGTGGCCCTACCGCCTCCTGTCCTCACCTGTGCCAGCAGCAGGGATGGTAACGGTGCTGGTGATGTCAGGCCGGGAGGTTCTTTCTCACCTGAGAGCCACCTTGGCATGCTGCCCGGCAGTCAGGGATGTTAGCAGGAGCCCCAGGGGTGATCCAAGCTCTTCCCGCAGGCCCACCCCGGCCAGGGCCTCATCTGTGACTCAGTAGGCAGGGATACCCCGGCGGCTGCCTGCTCCACCCGACGGCCAGGGCCCACCATGGCTGCAGGAATGTGGTCAAGGGATGGGAAGCCGGGCCCACCAGGTGAGGGGCTGTGTTCCAGGTCTTATGTTTCGTGGCCTGTCCTCTGAGGTCTTTCTTTTCCTAGCCCTTGCCCAACTAGGGGGCTAGTGTTTACAGAAACACTGTTCTGTGTCAGTGCCAGGCTGTGTGCCATTCTGGGAGGTGGCCCCATGTCCCCCACACTTGGCATGCTTGCTTTCTGTCACTGCATAGCAGACTCCGTGCATCTGTGGGCTTAATACAACACCTGCCAGCTCCTGGTTCTGTGGGTCGGGGCCTGAATGTGACGTGGCTGGGTCCTCTGTGCGGGGTCTCACCGGGCTGGAACCTAGATGTTGGCCAGGGCTGTGTTGTCATCTGGAGGCTCAACGGGGGTGGCATCTGCTTGCGGCCGGGGGACCAAGGGTCCTGCTCCGTTCCTGGCCACATGGCCCTTCTGTCTGGAAACCAGGCACTGCCTGTCCACGGCTTGTGCTTCCAGGCTCTGACTTCTGGAGATGCAGAGATCACATCAGTGATTGCCTGGATTGCTGTGTGTGTTGTGGGGTGGTGAGACAAGTTTTCTTTTGGGGGTGATGGAACGTTCTGGAATTTTATAGTGGTCATGGTTGCACAACTCCAAGCATACTAAGAGCCACTAAATAGGACACTTGATTGTTTTTGGTTTTTGAGTTTTTTTTTTTTGTTTTTTTTTTTTGAGAGAGAGAGTCTTGCTCTGTCACCAGGCTGGAGTGCAGTGGCATGATCTCGGCTCACTGCAACCTCTGCTTCCCAGGTTCAAGCAATTCTCCTGCCTCAGCCTCCCGAGTAGCTGGGATTACAGGCGCCCGCCACACACCTGGCCAGTTCTTTGTATTTTCAGTAGAGACGGGGTTTCACTGTGTTAGCCAGGATGGTCTCCATCTCCTGACCTCGTGATCTGCCTGCCTCGGCCTCCCAAAGTGCTGGGATTACAGGCATGAGCCACCATGCCTGGGTTTTCTTTTCTTTTTTTTTTTTTTTTTTTTTTTTGAGACAGCATCTTGCTCTGTCACCTAGGCGGGAGTACAGTGGCACGATTGTAGCTCACTTGAATTTCCGGGCTCAGGCGATCCTCCTGTTTCAGCTTCTCAAGTAGCTGAAGCCACGGGTATGCGCCACCACACCCAGCTAATTTTTTGATATTTAGTAGAAATGGGGTGTTGTTATGTTGCCTAGGCTGGTCTTAAACTCCTGAGCTCAAGTGATCCTCCCATCTCGGCCTCCCATAATGCTGGGATTACAGGCGTGAGCCGCTAGCACCTAGCCCTGAATTGCACTTTTGAAAATGACCTGTCTTGGCCGGGCGCAGTGACTCATACCTGTAATCCCACCACTTTGAGAGGCCAAAGCGGGTGGATCACGTGAGGTTAGGAGTTCGAAACCAGCCTAAACAACGTGGTGAAATCCCATCTCTACTAAAAATACAAAAAAATTAGTCGGGCGTGGTGGCGTGTAATCCCAGCTGCTGGGGAGGCTGAAGCATGAGAATCGCTTGAACCCGGGAGGTGGAGGTTGCAGCGAGTTGAGATCGTGCCACTGCACTCCTGCCTGGGCCACAGCAAGACACCACTGCACTCCTGCCTGGGCGACAGCGAGACACTGTCTCAAAAAAAAAAAAAAAAAAAAAACACCTCTTTTGGTAGGTTAATTGCATCTTCGTTTTTAAAAACCAATGACTGTTTAAACTCTGCAAACCAGGGGTTAGCAGGACATAAGGGAGTGTAGCCCTGATGCGGTGACCTGGGCTGGAGCCCTCAGACTAGCCTCAGCTTTGGCGGCAGCACGCCCTGCCTCGTGGAGCCACGGCCTCCTGGGACGGACTCCCCGGCTCCCCCAGCCGCCCCCAGCCGCCGGATGATCCTCTGCTCCCGTCTCTGTCTCCCACAGTCGGCATCGCTGAGGATGGAGCCCGCCCCGGGCCTCCTGGAGCAGCCCAAGTGCTTGGAGGCCGGGAGCCCAGAGCCTGAGGCGGCGCCGTGGCAGGCCCTGCCTGTCCTGTCCGAGAAGCAGTCGGGGGACGTGGAGCTGGTGCTGGCCTACGCCGCGCCCATCCTGGACAAGCGCCAGACCTCACGCCTCCTGAAGGAGGTGTCGGCCCTGCACCCGCTCCCCGCCCAGCCTCACCTCAAGCGGGTGCGGCCCAGCCGCGATGCCGGCAGCCCCCACGCCCTGGAGATGCTGCTGTGCCTGGCCGGGCCAGCCTCGGGCCCGCGCTCGCTGGCTGAGCTCCTGCCACGGCCGGCTGTGGACCCCCGCGGCCTGGGGCAGCCCTTCCTGGTGCCTGTGCCCGCCCGGCCGCCTCTGACCAGGGGCCAGTTCGAGGAGGCCCGGGCCCACTGGCCCACGTCGTTCCACGAGGACAAGCAGGTGACCAGCGCCCTGGCTGGGAGGCTCTTCTCCACGCAGGAGCGCGCCGCCATGCAGAGCCACATGGAGCGGGCGGTGCGGGCGGCCCGGCGGGCGGCAGCGCTGGGCCTGCGGGCCGTGGGGGCCGTGGTGGTGGACCCGGCCTCGGACCGCGTGCTGGCCACCGGCCACGACTGCAGCAGCGCAGACAACCCCCTCCTGCATGCCGTCATGGTGTGCGTGGACCTCGTGGCGCGCGGCCAGGGCCGCGGCACCTACGACTTCAGGCCGTTCCCGGCCTGCTCCTTCGCCCCAGCCGCCGCCCCCCAGGCCGTCCGTGCAGGCGCAGTGCGTAAACTGGACGCAGACGAGGATGGTCTCCCCTACGTGTGCACCGGCTACGACCTGTACGTGACTCGCGAGCCCTGCGCCATGTGCGCCATGGCCCTGGTGCACTCACGCATCCTGCGCGTCTTCTACGGCGCGCCCTCGCCCGACGGCGCCCTGGGCACCCGCTTCCGCATCCACGCCCGGCCCGACCTCAACCACCGCTTCCAGGTGTTCCGCGGGGTGCTGGAGGAGGAGTGCCGCTGGCTGGACCCCGACACATAGGCGCAACCCTCCTGCCTCCGGACCCATCCCGCTCCTGGCCGAGGGCGCCGCTCCTGGACTTCCAGTCCTCGATTTCTCTCGCAGAAGCCTGTCTGGATTTCAAGGACACACACCGCCTCCAGCGGGGATCACGGGTGCTGCCTTCCGCGCGGAGCGAGCTTTCCTGGACTTGTCATTGGGGCCACCCCTGTGCCTGCGGGGCTCTTCTGCGGATGCCCTCGCAGCTTTTGTGTTCCCCTCTGTCTCTCGGGCCAGGAAAAAGCTCTGATGGGGAAATAAACAGCTTAAAACCAAGTGCATGTCTGTTGGCAGGTGGGTGCGTTGGTGGCCAGGGTCCCGGGTGGGGTGGGGTCTGTACAGTGCCTGGTGGCTCAACAGGAGGGGACCTGCTGAGCTGCGTGTGGTCAGAGGCCTGGGCTGGTAGAGCAAGATCCCCAGCTGCTGCCTCCTTACCCGCTTCTGGAGTGCCAGTGGTTCCAGGCGTGCCTGGCCCAGGTGCGTGGACACCAGGCATAGCCTATAGGCCACTGACCTGAAGGAGGGGCCCTGGCATTTACTGTCCTTCACAAATGGCAACAGGAGACCCCAAAGGGCTGATGTCCGTTGGTCGTAACATAGTAAAGACTGGAGTCGTTTTTGCAGAACTTGGAGCAGGACTTGTGGGTCCACCAGGCAAGTGTCCATTGCCTGACCACGTGGGTGCAGCTCAGCCCTCAGACAAGCCTGCCCTGAGCCCCCAGTCCGTGGGGGAGGGGACGTGGCAGGTGGGGGCTCTGCCTGCAGAGCTCATGCAGCGGACAGATGCTGGCCAGGAGCCCGCCAGCCCTGCAGTGGGGGAGTCCGTGCCTGGGGGTGGAACCGAGGTGGGCTGGAGAGCCACAGTGGGCATGAGGAGGTGGGAGCCGCAGAGGTGTGCCCAGTTGAGTGGTGGAAGCAGCGGTTGGGCCTCCTTCGTGCTCAGGTGCTCAGCTCCTTCCCCTGAGGGGCAGGAAGTCGGGGAGGAGGGAGTGAGAGGTGGGAGGTGGGCAGAGAGGAGGCTGTCCTGTCCCAAGAATCCGGGGTACCTCACCCCACGATGGCATCTCCCTGAATGGGTTGTGCGTGGAGGGCTCAGTTCCTGGGAACCGCTCCACCTGGACTGTGGGCGGGAGGCAGCTCCTGGCCCCACGCCCGCCCCCTCAGGCCTGCTCCCCTGCCAGGAGCTGGGATGGTTCAGACCCCGCTGGGCTGTGATGCCCGATGGGCACCAGGCATGCCCCTGCTGGGCTGGCCCACCTCCTGATGGCAGGTCCGCCCCCAGGATCATGGAAGCAGCTAGATCCACTCACTCGTGGGGGGCTGGCAGGCTGGGTGGGGCTGCTCTGGTGCGTGAGCTCATGGGGTCCCCTTTCAGAAGGGCCAGGGTACCACGTGGATGTGATGGGGTCCTAGGCCATGCAACGCTCACCTTGCAGCACCCACTCCTTGTGGACTGAAGCCGGGAATTGGGGGATGCCGGGGCCTAGGACAGCAGGGGAGGGGCATCCTGGCTGGGGCAGTGGGTGGAAGGGGCTGCAGCCAGCTCTGTCCCTTTTGCCAGCATAGGTGGTGTGCCCTGGAGCCGAGGGGTGGGGACCTGTGGGGTAACATACTGGGATGGGTCAGGCCTGTGGCTCCCGCTCAGCCCACTGCTATGCCCAGAGCAGAGGGCACGATGAAGGGCTTTTCAGCCACAGTGGGTGGGTGGTGAGCGCTCTGCCCAGGGCATCTCGGGGTTCCCTGACTGTCGCTGTCTTCCTTCCAGGCGGCTGCAGGCTTCAGCCTGCGCCAGTCGGTGAAACCAAGATGTCAGGTGAGTCCTGCCTGCCTGGGAGCCCCCAGCAGTGTGGGCGGGAGGGAGATGCTGGCAGTTCCCACAGGAACCCTCAGTCCTGGCCATTGGCACACAGTGTCCTCTTGGCCCGCGTGGCCTCTGACTCCTCGGGTCCCACAGCCCAGCACAGCCAGAGTCACGCCTCTGCTAGGGGCAAAGGGCAGCAGAGCCGCCTGTGTATCCGCTCCTACGCCTTACTGACCCGAAGCACAGCCGAGCCGGGTGCCCCTGCTGTTGCAGCTGTTCTTTCCTTATAGCAGCTGGTGTGTTCTCAAGTGCCCCGGGGTCCCTCACCCACTCATTTACTGACAGCCTTCCCCAGTGGGGCGCAAGCCCCTGAGGACGGAGCCTCTTGTCATCTGGCTCATCATCTGGCCCTCACAGGCGCCCAGATGCGATGGAGTTAAGATGAGGTACTGGAGCAGGGTGAGCTCTCAGCCCAATGCCTGCCATATTTATAAGAAGAGATGGGCCGGGTGCGGTGGCTTACCCCTATAATCCCAGCACTTTGGGACGCCAGGGTGGGTGGATCATGAGGTCAGAAGTTTGAAACCAGCCTGGACAACAGTGAAACCCTGCCTCTACTAAAAATACAAAAATTAGCCGGGCGTGGTGGCATAGCACCTGTAGTCCCAGCTACGTGGGAGGCTGAGGCAGGAGAATCGCCTGAACCCGGGAGGCAGAGCTTGTGGTGAGCCGAGATCATGCCACTGCACTCCAGCCTGGGCGACAGAGAGAGACTCCATCTCAAAAAAAAAAAAAAGATGGAGAGACAGGAGGTGTTGTGGAGATGGAGGCAGAGGCCGGAGCTATGTGGCCATGAGCCAGGGGTGCCAGGAACCCCCAGAAGCTGCTTGGGAGAGGAAGGAAGGCCCCTTCCCTGGACCTGGCAGAGGGAGTGTGGTGCTGAGACACCTTGATCTCAGATTTCTGGCCTCCAGGACTATTAGCAGATAAATATCTGCTGTGTTCTTTGTTTTGTTTTGAGTCAGGGTCTGGGTCTGTCTCCCAGACTGGAGTGCAGTGCTGTGACATAGCTCACTGCAGCTTTAACCTCCCGGGTTCAAGCGAGCCTTCCGCCTCAGCCTCCTGAGAAGCTGGGACCACAGGCACGCACCACCATGCATGGCTAATTTTTGTATATTTTGTAGAGTTGGGGTCTCGCTAGGTTGCCCAGGCTGATCTGCAACTCCTAGGTTCCAGTGACCCTCCTATCTCAGCCTCCAAACGTGCTGAGGTCACAGGTGGGAGCCCCCACGCCTGAGCAGTTTGTTTTTTTGTTTGTTTGTTTGTTTTTGAGATGGAGTCTTGCTCTGTCGCCCAGGCTGGAGTGCAGTGGCCGGATCTCGGCTCACTGCAAGCTCCGCCTCCCGGGTTCACACCATTCTCCTGCCTCAGCCTCCCGAGTGGCTGAGACTATAGGCGCCGCCACCTCGCCTGGCTAGTTTTTTGTATTTTTTAGTAGACCGGCTAGTTTTTTGTATTTTTTAGTAGAGATGGGGTTTCACTGGGTTAGCCAGGATGGTCTCGATCTCCTGACCTCGTGATCCACCCGTCTCGGCCTCCCAAAGTGCTGGGATTACAGGCTTGAGCCACCGTGCCCGGCAGTTTCTGTTGTTTTAAGCCTCCCAGTTGGTGGTGCCCTCTCACACCAGCCACAGGGAATGGAAGTGTCCCCAGGCCTCAGCCTCCCTGCAGTGTGTGGACTCTGAGCCTGCATGTTGGCGTCCCCTGCCTGCTGGAGGGAATGACGCTAAACGCAGCCTGCTGCGGCCGCACCCACACTCAACATGGAGGAGGGCTACAAAGATTAGCATGGCCCTGCATAAAGGGTGACACAGAAATTAAAAAAAAAAATTTTGGCAGGACGCAGTGGCTCACGCCTGTTATCCCAGCACTTTGGGAGGCAGAGGTGGGTGGATGATTTGAGGTCAGGAGTTCAAAACCAGCCTGGCCAACATGTCGAAACCCCGTCTCTACTAAAAAGAAAAATCCAAAAATTAGCCAGGCATGGTGGTGGGCGCCTGTAATCCCAGCTACTTGGGAGACTGAGGCAAGAGAATCACTTGAGCCTGGGAGGCAGAGCCTGAAGTGAGCTGAGAACGCACCACTGCCCTCTAGCCTGGGAGACAGAGCGAGACTGCATCTCAAAAAAAAAAAAAAAATTCATAAACCTAGTTCCTTAAAACAATGAAATCTGTTGTGTGACAGTTCTGGAGACCAGAAATGCTAAAATCAAGCTATAGGCAGGGCTGGGCCCTCCTAGGGATTCCAGGCAAGAAGTTGGTTCCTGCCTTTCCCAGCATCCAGAGGCGCCCGCATCCCTCCGCTTAGGGCCCCTTTCTCCCCCTTCACAGCCTCAGTGCAGCCTCTTCCCATCCCTTTCTGACTCCCACCCTCCTGCCTCCTCTCGTGAGGCTGCCATGAGGACACAGGGCCCTGGATCAGCCAGACGCTCTCCTGTCTCATGGTCCTGCTGTCAATCCCAACTGCAGAGTCCCTTCTGCCATCAGAGGCAACACAGCTGTGGGTCGAAGGGATGAGGTGGGGCCTCCTTCAGGAGACAAAGTCTGGTTCTATCCGTGGGTTCTCTGTCCCTACAGAAAAGGAGAACAACTTCCCGCCACTGCCCAAGTTCATCCCCCTGAAGCCCTGCTTCTACCAGAACTTCTCTGACGAGATCCCGGTGGAGCACCAGGTCCTGGTGAAGAGAATCTACCGGCTGTGGATGTGTGAGTGCGCCTGGTGCGCCCCAGGGTGGGAGGCGAGAGGCGGGGCTCCTGGAGGGAGGGAGGATTCGGGCAGGGGCAGCCCGTCGGGGGCCGACTGTCCACCCCAGCCGTCCTAGGCCCAGTGGTCCCTGCCATGAACGAGGCCGGTGTCCAGGCCCCAGGCCCCAGTGTCCTGGCTTGCACAGTTCATCCTCAACGTGGGGTCACCAGGCTGGGGAGGTGGACAGTGGGTGCCCCATTGCTGGGCAGCATATTTTCTCACGGCCACACCCCCCCGTGCCCGCTCATCTGTCCTTCCTCTCTTCGCAGTTTACTGTGCCACCCTTGGCGTCAACCTCATCGCCTGCCTGGCCTGGTGGATCGGCGGAGGCTCGGGGGCCAACTTCGGCCTGGCCTTCGTGTGGCTGCTCCTGTTTACACCCTGCGGCTATGTGTGCTGGTTCCGGCCAGTCTACAAGGCCTTCCGGTGAGCAGAGCTGCCAGGCCGCCTGCACCCGGGGGGAACCAGGGCCCACTCCGCACCCCGGTTCCAGCCCAGCTGTGAGGAGCTGTCCCTTTCTCTGCCCAGTGTGACAGACAGGTCATATCCAGGGGTGGCAAACTGTGGCCCACAAGCCAAAGCCAACTACTGTCTGTTTTGTTTTGCTTTCGAGTAATTTTGGCCGGGTGCAGTGGCTCATGCCTGTACTCCCAGCACTTTTGGAGGCTGA